TCAAAGACTCCACGATGATGTGATGAAATCAAACTTCCCTGACCATTGCCAAAAGATCAAAGAAATAAAAGCAGCCTCTTTGCTGTTCTCAGATCTAAAGTTATAGGACTCATGAAGTTAAGTGTCTAGATGTCACCACACTTCTTTCATCATTGTCATCTAAATTGTCTTCCATACCAGCAAAAGAACTTGCAGGAGTATTGAGAAACTTTCAGTGAAGGGTCACAGAAACTTCATTCTGGAATATTGTCAGAACACCACTGTGGTGCTGCTATTTTTGACTGGCTGGTCTAGCTTTACCTACTGACAGATTTTTGTCAGATGTATTTTAGCTGAAGAGAAGCTGTTCATCATATCATGGCAGGTATCAGCAAGATGTTGCTATTGTCACAGTCTTTCCGCTGAGGCACTACACTAAGAATGTAGTACAGCTGAAGCTGTAACGTACAACTGCCTGCAACTCTGAATCTGTTCCAGGAGGGTTTTTTTGGTCATGGTAGCATGCAAATGCTACTATACAAAAGTCAAAGAGGCTCCATACGCAAAAGTGCTGCTAGGGGAAGGAGATAGAAGCCATTCAGCGGTGTGTGTTCTGCTAGGTAGTTTCAGGCTTGGGACACCAGTGATGTATTGTTGCTGAAAAGGATTGCTGTTTTGGGGCCCTGCAATTTTTCTTGAGGAAGAGATTTCATGGATTAAAACAGCACTCTGAATTCTGTTGCAAATTAAATGGGAAAGAGATGCACTTGCAAAGCATGGGTACACTGTAGCTGGCTGTACTAACTCAGTAGCCAATCTTTTCATCTTAGTCCAGCTCTCTAACCCAAAGTTAAACAAGGTACTGGTTTTCAGTATGTGAATTACTATCTTTTCCAGTGGAGATACGCATCTTAGTTTAGTAATTTTAAGCCTATTGGCAAGATGCTTGCCTTGTTGTTGCCTTCTGTAAGTCTCTTAAAAGTATCGCTGTGCCTTTCCCCAGGGGTCTGCAGGCCAGAGATTGGAAGCCACTGTGCTAAGCTAATGTGAAGGCAAATGAAATACAGGTCACAGCAGGCAGGCTCTTATCTGAAAGGAGACAGGGCAAGTCCCTGGCAAGCCGGAGATGGAGACAGCATTACTGTTGTGAGCCACAAGCTCTTTTGACTCCAGTCTGAGCCAAAGGATTTGCAATACTGTCACAGTCTGCTGCCTCTGTCACTGGTAGCCTACCTCTTTATTAGCAAGGATGAAATTTGTATATGTCATTATAAAAAGTTTGTTGTTTTTTTTTTTCCACATAAAGACCACTTTATTGATGATGCCTGCAGAGCCTGAGACAGTAGCTCCAAGAAGACATACAAACTGTCTCCGTTTGTTTCCATCTTATACCTTATGGCAGATCCTAGGAAGAGTAGCCCACAGATGGATGGAGGAATCACAGATTGTCCTAGATAGGCTCCTTGACAGAGACCTAACCTGGAGAAGGCTCATTTATAGAAAAAGCAGAGTAAGCCTTCCTTAGGCTTCAGAGCTTCAAACTATATAATCAATTCAGAGTCGATCATGGCAGATACTAAAAGGCATGTACCTTATCTTATCTTTGGATCTTTACTCACAAGGCAGACCAAACAAATACTGTTTACTACAAATGTCTACTGGCGCCCTTCCGGATTGTTATTCAAGTCATTCTGAACGGCCTTCATAAAGACAGCTTGTCTCTACCATTTTCTTTATATCGAATCCGACCTAGCAATGGGAGGAAGGTTGCTTTCCTTTTTCCGAAACTTGCAGTGTTCTGAGGTTATTGAGATAGCACTTTTGCCTTGAGGTTTTCATTCACTTAACACTAATTGCTGTGCTGGAATTATTTTGCTCTGTATTATACCACCAGACCAAGACTTTCAAGAACAAACCTCTGGAACTAAGTGCTTGTGTTAGTATATGGGTTCCTGAGAAGTACAGAACACCCTTTTGTTCTCAAATCCAATGGCTACATCCTTAGACTTTTTAGAAAGTCAAGCTACTAATTTATGGCCCTCTCCTGAATGCATTGGCTTTTGTTTTCTTAGCAACTTTTTAAGAATTCTAAAAGGTTTAAAAAATTTAAAGACTAGTTTAAATACAGTTTCAACTTAAACTTAAAAAAAAAAAAATTAAAAGAGTTTAAAGGAGTTTTAAAGAATAAAATTTAAAGAGTTTAAGAACTCTTTAGCTTGCTTGGAGCAGGGAATCAGACTAGATGATCTCCAAGGGTCCTTTCCAACCTAAGTCTTTCTGTGATTCTGAATCTCATGAGTGTTTTCTGTAGCATCATAAAATCACAGTTCACTCACTGCTAAAATGAGGAAGTCTGATTCCCACTGACCCCCACTTCTCCTAGAAGAATGTTTCCCCATCCTGTGGCCAAACTGATGACTGAGTAAGGATACAGTGCTGGAATGAAATGGGTAGACAGTTACATTGTCAAAGGCAGTGGATTCAATGTCATTAGCAGACAAACTGGAGAGTGAAGTAGTTCACATTGGTTGAGCCAGACTTTACCACACATGTTCATTAAGAACATTACATTAAAAATCCGAGGCATACATTTTGATTTTGCAGCAGATTCTTTGAGGATGTGAAACAGTTGCCTAGCAACTTCTAGACTCATCACCCTTTCATTAAGTGTTGTATGTAACAGTCTTCCTCTACTACTTTAAATTTAAAAGCTCCGCTGAATAATGAAAAGAAGTCACAAGCATATTTAACAATAGTTCTGTATTGTTAGCATAAATAATATCCTCATTTTACTTCCTTTACCCATCAGCAGTAGAGTCTAGAAAAACCAAGTCTGATTCCCTTGTTATTTCTTTGCACCACTCTGCATATGAAACTGTGCAATAGTCAGTGCTAAGCATCTTTGCCCTGAAGAGCTCAGACTGGAAGAAGCTGGGCTGAGATGAGCTAAGAAATACAGGAGTTAGCAGTTGGATTTTTTCCAGCAGGAGAGTTTAAAGGAAATTTTTCTGCTAGAGTTGTCACTATTGAAAATGAAATTTTGGCCCCGTATCACTTAAGTTTTGAAAATGGTATGTTCAAGACACGCATCACAACAGCCCATGTCTTTTGGTGAGACGTGTCTGTGGCATTGCCTTAGGATAAACTGCTAATGGAAACTTGTCTAACTCTCAGCCTTCAAATGCAGTTATGCATTTCCCATCAGCATGGTGGAGGCAGACACCCATGGAAAAATGCTTCTAAAAGGCAGTCTTAACATTGGCAGTTTCTTATGAAAGCTACTTTGCTCTTATTCTCCTTTCTAACTTCTTTTCTTCTATTTCAATGTACTTCAGGACGTGTTGTAAATTTAGTTCTGTAGCATTTTCCAGAAGTTTTTCAATGAAATAGTGCAAGGGGTGATTAAGTGATTGCCCCTTCTGGTTGATCAACTGAGACTGATCAGTCTGTTTCTCTCTCTTGCTATCCTAAGTCCTTTGACCTCCAGTAAGTGAAATAAGTGTAAATCCTGTGTGGTGCGGGTATATGCCAGCTGGATCAGATTAAGAGGGTGGGGTAACACTGAAGATTAATTACATGGAGAAAAAGGAAACAAGAAGGGACACATAGATACCATCCACAGAACTTCCTGGGAGGAGACTGCTAGTATGCACTTAGAGAAACAGCTGAAATCAGCCAGATACGAGCTTGTGCTATCAGCAGGGCTTGCTGGCATGGAGAGCACTCTGATAGTTTTCAGAGTGGGGCTGCATAGGAGGTATGCTCTAATTCATGGCGTAAAAGCAGAGCCTCCTTTGGCACTCCGTGGGTTCATATCTTATATTCCACTAGCAGAGCGCCTGGTCTGTGGGATCAGAAGCTAGAAGAGGGGCTGCAGGGTTGTGCTGTGAGGACAGGAGGTGGTGGTGCTGGAGAAGTGTGTGAGTCTCATGCTCAGCCCGTAAGACTTGACAAGCCTAGAGTAATATAGAGACTGAGGCCTTGTTTAAATTGCATCTTAACCTGGGGTGTGATTTTAAAACCAAGATGCTTGAACTTGTGCCAATACCTATGTGGGCACTTGTTTCAATTTAATTTGATTAAACATTTAAAGCATAATGAAAAAGGCAGTCTTAGCACGGATGGAAAAAGGATCTAAGTTATTTTCCCTGTGGACAAAACCTTGCTTTCCAAATTTTCAGTTCTCATGTGCGACTTACTCAAAAGTGAATATTCTTTGCATTTTGTATCTGACCTGCGGTGAGGAAACAAAACTAGAACCACATAAAATTCAGCAAAGGTTTATGTTAAAATACATATCAAACCCTATTGGATTCATACAAATAGTATCACTGAGGTCATATAACCAGCTGGGCCCATGTCCCCCTCTCAGCTATTATTTGCCTGGGGGAGAAGCAGAACCTAGTATGAAGTCAGGAAAATCAACTGAGTTTTAATAGTTAAATTAGGGTTTGCAAAATATCACACTTAAAGAAGCATGAACTCCAAATTAATGAGTGCTTGCTCTAGCACAGTCCTTCTGCAATTGACCTTCCCATTGTGTCAGGCCATCTTTTCTCTTACCCCGAAGTGCTGTGCATTATTTTGAGGGGCAGGTAATAGTCTTGATCTGGTACGTCCTGCAGTACACTTTGAATGTGAACAGTGGCAGAGAGAAGTGGCCAATACATGGGAGTAGTGGGTCTTTTTCTCAATCTAAGATAAGACAGTGTATGAAAGAAATAGATTGGAACCGAGGTAGGATGAAAGGGTCCATGCACTGTTGTTCAATTTGTCATAAGTCATATCCTAATTACAGTATCCTTTTTGCTTCCTATGCACATATGGGGCTCTAGACCAGATGCAGCTTTTGCTCAGTGTAAGAAACCTTTTAGCTAGCCAGGCTTTGAGCCCTGAATGCTTTATGGAAATGGACCTTTTAGGCTAGATTTCGTCAAATTTGAAGCAAAACTTGTTTCTCACATCTGTCTAACAATGTGTGTTTTCTTCTACCCTGGGAGCAGTGGAGTGAAGTGCAGCAGATGATAAATGGTACCCCGGTCTATATGTACCAGGACTGCAGTGTGCTTTCCGAGGGTGACACTGATCACTGGCTTCGCACCAACTGGATTTATCGGGGTGAGGCAGCCTCCCGCATTTATGTGGAACTAAAGTTTACTGTGAGGGACTGCAAGAGCTTCAAAGGTGAAGTGGTGACCTGCAAAGAGACCTTCAATCTTTATTACATGGAGTCTGAACAAGATGTCGGGATCCAGTTCCGCCGCCCGCTGTTCATCAAGGTCCGTAGCACTGAGGGTGAAGACTGAGTCCTGTCTTTCTGCTTAAACTAGTCGTATCTTTCAGCTTAAACTAGGTGTGTCTTGCTGGCTGGGGGAGGCCAGGAGAAGCAGCATCTGGGGAGGGGCATGGATAGTAAGCGTTGTCCTTAGAATCAACTTTGCCTCCAGTGCCCTCCGTGATGCTCAGAGCAGTCTTTGCCACAGGAAGCACAGAAGTTTTCAAATGAGATCAGCCCTCCATTCCGCGTAAGCACTTATTTAACTGGACACCACGTAGGTAAGGATTCTAAAGGCTTATAACAGTGCTAGATGGTTACACCAATTTTTAGAAATAGTAAAGGAGAGACCAAAGGAATTTGACTCGCCTTAGGTAACAAAACAAGATTAGACCAAGTGAAGAACTGAAGCCAGTTCAGGTCTCTGTACTCCTGATCATTTATTTTGATTGTTATGAGATACAGGGTGTTTTTTTTCTAAAACTGGAGGTGATGGTTTGCTATAATGAAATTCTCCCTTGTGTGAAAGGATTTAGTACCGCTATATTTTAACTGCTGTTTCCCCCAACATAGTGCCCTCTTGCCATGGAAACATTTGAATTGCAGAACAGGGAACCTCAGCTTTTTTGTAAAGGAACTTCTGTAACCCAGTTCTGTCCTAAAAGAAGCCACAGACCTAAATTATTTGACTGCCCTTTCCTCTGCAGTTTATATGGCTTTTGATGAAAACAAAGAAGTAAAGCCCACGAGAGGCAGAGCAGGACCCTGGTAATGTATTCCACTCCCTCCCCAGCGCTCCTCTACCTCCCCTGCAGCTGGGACCTAGCAGGTGAATTTGTGCCATACCTTCACAACTCCTAAAGCTGCCTTAGGATCCCACTGCCAGATACAGCTGCTGTGCAGATCCTTTCATCTGCCATCCAACTACACAGAGCTGGTGGTGTCACGTAATGGGGAGGGGCCTGCGGTGGAGAGGAGTTATCAGGCACTCTGTCTGAGAAGAAATGACACCCCACCATCAGGCTCTCTGAGAAGAAAGGCCACCCCACCTCCAGTCCAGCTCTTTCATATCACATGATGTCATGGAGGCCTTTCCCACTTGGCCAAGCATTGAAAGCATCTCTGTCTCTCTCTCATCCATTGTTTGCTGAGGCAGTGGGAATGTAAGAGCATGGGAGGATTTTTTACCCAAGTATCTACAGTCCTGAAATATGTTGAGTGCTGCATGAGAAGCATCTTGCAGTAGATGATCTGGTCTGCATCAAGTACAGCGTAGAAACAGGTGGCTGTAATTCAGTGATCAATTTAAAAACACAGCTCTAAGCGCTGCTGTGATTTTACTGCATACAATTTGCAAACAAAGAAGAATATCGCAGAAGAGAAATTTGCTCCTTTAGGGGCAGTTCCTAAAGACTTCTGAGATCAGAGACCCACAACACAGTGTACTATATAAGACCAGTGAATTGCCAAGGAGTTGAAAGGCAATGCTGGGAAGTATGGAGGCAAGGATGCGGATCCCGTTGTTAACAATTCCTCCACGTGCAGAGAAAGCATGCAGTGCACTGGCATTAGAAACAGTGACCATACAGCCTCTAAAAGGCCTTAGTGTAAAAAGTTTGAGAGGCATGGGTATCTCAGCTGTTGCTGCCTGCTCAGATGTTAACGCTGTTGTCTTTTTCTCTTTCGCTTAGCTCAACACTGTGGCAGCAGATCGAAGTTTCACAAGCAGAGACATCGAATCGGGTGCCATGCAGCTGAACACAGAAGTGTGTCCCATTGGGAAGCTGTCTCGCCGGGGCTTCTACTTGGCTTTCCAGAACTCTGGGGCTTGCGTAGCCATGGTGTCTGTCCGAGTGTATTACAAGACTTGCCCGGAGGCAGTGCGGGGCCTGGCCCGTTTTCCAGAGACACTAGCAGGTTCGGAGGGGCTGACAGAAGTGCCCGGGGTCTGCGTGGAGTATGCAGCTGAAGAAGTGGGCTCTCCCCCCAGGATGCACTGCAGCACTGACGGGGAGTGGCTGGTACCAATGGGCCGATGCCTTTGTGCTGTGGGGTTTGAGGAAGTTGATGGGAGCTGCGTAGGTGAGTATGAAGACAGACACTGGCTGTAGGCCGTGAGAGAGGTTCCAGGGAGCTAGAGGTCAGAGCATCTGTAAGCATAAAGTGGGATTAGGGGAGTTAGTGTGGTCTACCTCTCTCATGCCTGCCCTCTGTGCCTGCCAGGTGTATCTTATACCTTTCCTCCCCTCCTTAGCTTCTCTTTTTCAATTGTGATTTTTCTCCTCATGTGTCAGGTGTAAGACCTGCACACACCACTCCCTCTTGGGCTTCATCCAGGAGCCTTCAGCTCTGGAGCTAGTTTCTGCGAGCTGTAACTGTGTGATTGACACTGACTCACTCAACAACTGGTTCCCAACCTTTAAATGGCAGCCTTGTTCTCTCAGGGCAGACAGGTCAGACGCATGGAACAGTGTATTTGTCCCGTGACTAGAAAGCTGAGAGCCGGAGGGGGGCAAGTTTCTCCTCTGTGTCCCCTTCTGCTTGGACTGGGATGGCTCTTCTGCCATGGGAAACCATGTAAACCACATTGCACAATACCGTCAGTGCCCAGCTCATTTCTAAGGAAGAGCAATTAGCAGGCATAGGAGTCACCAGGCTACTGGAGCCACAGAGCAAGCCAGGGTTGTTGGGAGCAAGCAGTGCAGGGCTCTCCCTTTGCCACAGAAGGGGCAAGAGCCAGCTTCTTAGGGCAACTTCGCGTGTTTGTTAGGGGAGAGGATATGTGTGGTGTTTTGGGGCATATGTATTACTGCAGGGAGGGAGGTAAAAGTACATCTCTGCTCTTGGCAGAGATGTGGCACAAGGCTAAGGCATACAGAAAAAGGAATCCATGCACTGCTCTCAGGGTCAGCGGGTGCCCTGTCTCTCTGCTTTGTTGTGCCTTTGCTCCACTAGCAGGATCTGGTGCCTCTATGAATCCCCACTGCTTGCTGCTCATTTCGCTTGGGGAGCTGGTGAAGGTTGATGTACAAGATCCTTTCCCTTCTCCAGCAATCCTCTCTCCTTGCATAGCTCAGCCAGTTTTTCCACTTAGGTGCTACAGAGCTCTCCCCGCCCTCCTGAGAGCACTCCCCTGGGAAGGGGCAGGGAAGCTGTCATGTCTGGACAAGCCCTGACTGCTATCACAGCACAAGTTCATTCTACATCTGTGCTTTTATCCCACTCCGCCCAAGTACAGCTGCAGCAAGAAGTGTCTTTTGTAGGATCAGTAGGGACTGGGGAGGTCTTCCAGGAGAGGGAGGGAAGAAGGGAGAACTTGCAGGGGTAGAGAGAGATAGTTCATGTTCAGAGCAGTGTCTTACTGGAGGATCAGAGGAGAAGGTGAATGTAGGTTGCCTGCTGGGGTATATCTTGGGGTCCTCTCCCTCAACAGAAAAGACCAGGCATTGTGCAAAGGACTAGGAACAATCCAGGTCAGGATAAAGACTGAGGTCACAGTTTTTACTTTGTCCTCAGAAGATGAAGGACTTCTCCTTCAAACACGTAAAGGGGGACAGGATGGAGGAAGATCTTCTGGCAGTGTCTTCTGGCTCTGAGTTTTGCCTTAAGTGGGAACCAAAAAAAAAAAGAAAGCTGAATTACAACCCTTGCCTCCTAACAGGGAGGAGAACCTGACCTCTGTTACAGGACAGGAGGCAACGGAAAGCCAAAGGTCAAGGTTCTGAACTAGTTTACTCAACCTCTCAGTGAATTCCCAGCCGTATAAAGCTCTGCTGAGTACATAGTGGCTCAGCCATCCCATGATCCCAGAAGAACTGTGCCTGCCCAGAGCATTACATCTCAGCCTCTCATAGCGTTGCAGACTTTGCTGCCGATAAACCCAGAGCTCCATGATTAACTTCCTCAAGTATGTAATTTACTGGGAACGCAAAGGCTGGCTGTGCCCCTGGCCCGTGTTCTGGTTCCTTGATGGGCTTTGGAGGCTGGCGGGCGAGCTGAGTTCCCTGTTGGCTCAGGTCTGGCGTCTGCAGGCTGCCGAGTGCTTGCTGGCAGTCTCCGGATGAGCACCTGTAGGAATAAGGAATGAAGGGAGGGCCTCAGCCATCCTCTCTGCCCTGGCGAGCAGTGTGGAGCAGGCCCTTTCCCAGGCCTCTTTTTCTCATCTTGTCGCCTGGAGCGGGTGCCCAAGGGCCGGGGAAGCCAGGTGCCGCGGGCCAGAGGGGCTGGGCGGGAGCTGCTTCTGGCCCGGGGGCCCAAGGCTTCCAGGGAAGGGAGGCAGGCAGCGATGGGAGCCGG